AAAAATGTTCCTTTTGTAGCATGTTTATCTGTATCCATTTCACTAATGGTGGGGGTGGCTCTGATTTTGCCACTTCCTCGTGGACAGCCTTTTTTACTTGGTTGCCAGAAGTAGTTAAATCTAATTTTCTTCGATGATTGCTGTTCCACCTTTCGCAATGTAATGTCACCATGGTTTACAGTGTCCCAGAGAGCATGGCGTTTCTCGGTTGCGTTGTTTATCATGCCTGGATGTATGTTCAAGTGATAGGTTTTGCGTTTTAATTAGTTATTTGATGCCCTATAAAAAGGGGGCTTTCTCATTTCATGCAGTTGGGCACATGATGAGCCCTGGGCTCGCAGCTTGGAGGTCAACTGGGTAGTCTATTGTGGTGGGACCTTGATACCACTGGGCACACCCATTATTCCGGGATTATTTTTGGGGGCTTAGATTTTGTGCTACAGTGGGCGGAGGACAGTGTTTTTTGGGAGGACTGTCTGGGTTGTCCATCCCCATATAGCCTAGTGTCAATTGCCTCTACCCGGCTGCAACCAGGGCTTACCAATGCTTTATGCATTGATGCTTTAGTATTAAAGGCTGGCACCTATGCCGGATCTTGCCATGTGTTCAGCGCGGATTTCATTTTTGGTTTAATATCGTAGGCCTCTGCTCCTTGATTCGGCGTTAGCCTGCTTAGCCGGCCCCCTGAATCTACACCTTGGGTGAAACGAACCCGGTTTCGGCGGGACAACACAGGGCGCTCGTAAACGTCAAACAGAACACGTAGGGGGGCCAGGCTGCGTTGCCCCCACAAACCACAACGCACCACATTCCAGCTCCATCACCGACAAGGCATGGTTTGGGAGAGGGGGCCGTGGGCCGCGGGGGTTTAGTGCGCGTGCACATAACTGTGGGGGGGTGGGAGGGGCGCGAGCTTGCTGTGTTTTGTTGGTCAATTTTGGACGCTCATGCAGGGATCGGCATAGTTGCTCCTTTAATTCATCCAATTACGTATAAAACATATATATATATATATTAAATTGTGTAAAGTATAAAAACATAAAAAAGATACAATCTGATCTTTACTGCTATTTTTATTCACATGTGTATATTTTAATGGCAGTGCTTGTTGATTTGGACACTGAAGGTGCCAATGTCTCTCAGGTCACCTGTGTTAGTGAACATGGAAACTCACATCACACACACACACACACACACACACACACACACAGACATTCAGATCCTGATGACTCACTCATCCCCCTCTCCCTCCTCTGCTATATTTGGACTTATCTCCAGGCTTCAGCTAAACATTAAAAAGTGAAAAGAGGCAAGCGGAGGAAGAGGAGGAACACATCTCGTGTGTGTGTGTGTGTGTATAGGTGCATGATAACATTCACAACTGGGAACAATTCCTGCTGTGCACAACGTGTTTAAACTGTGACGTCAATGCGCACACGTCACAGCTCGGGGAGACACTGCTTATTTGCACAGTAGTGCTCCCCCCCTGCTGTTTCCACTCTTTCAAGTGTAATGCAGTATTTATACAATCCATTGTGTCACTTTAAGTTTGGACTCCAGCTGCAGCGTGGCAACAGTGCTCTGCCAGTGCCAGGTCCTGATATGGGCCTGCTGTCTGGCTTGATTGGTAGCAATAAAAAGGATTACGCTGATTGCACCACAAGGGGGATTTTAAGTTAACAGCACTACATTCTGTAACACCAAAATAGATCTGATTTTTTTAATGCCTTCTGTCACAGTATGAAACAGAAAAAGGGATGTGAAGTCGAGGATGGAGGCACACAGGGAGAAAATACATTCCAATGTTTCATTTTAAACACCTTCTCCAGCTTATTAGGCTGTTGGT